TTCTTGTTCTTCCTCATACTGAAAAAAATCCCACAGATTTACCCAAGATATACATGTCTATTTATCAGTAGAATTTCAAGACCAGAACTAGCATTCTACCCGTAAGAATACCTATTTCTTATTTCTAGATCTTTGCAGGGAACATACTTACTGACACTATATGTTCAAACTTCACATGGTAGTACCTGCATTTTCTTCCACTGAAGCCTTTTAGATAAAGATCTCATACCACTAACACCACTACTTTTTAAATATAACTACGGGGTCAAGAGACTATCATTCAAGAGACTTTTAATAAGCAATTGCTATATAGCACCAGAAAGATGCTAGATAATCAAGCACACTTTTTAACTGAAGTCACCAGTAGCAGAATTTAAGAAATCTAATTATTGGGACTTCCCTGGTGGCGCAGTGGTTAAGAATCTGCCTGCCAATGCAGGGGACATGAGTTCAAGCCCTGGTCCAGGAAGATCCCACAGGCCACGGAGAAACTAACCCCATGCGCCACAACTACTGAAGCCCATGTGCCCTAGAGCCTGTGCTCTGCAACAAGAGAAGCCACCGCAATGAGAAGCCCATGCACCGCAACGAAGAGTAGCCCTCGCTCACCGCAACTAGAGGAAGCCCGCGCGCAGCAATGAAGACCCAACGCAGCCAAAAATAAATAAATAAAATAAATTTATTTTAAAAAAAGAAATCTAATTATTAAAACCTCTAAAACCCAGCTCAAATCACTAATTTGTTTCCTCAGCTCAACAAAACTACTAACATTACTTAGACACCGTTCTAGGATCTTTCTAAGAATCATGCAACTTTAAAAAGCAAGGTCAGTGAGCTTAGAGTTTTAAGAATCACAAAGTCTTTAGGGAGTCTACTTTTTACCTACTCTTATGGGGTGGTTAGAAAGTTTTCCTGTATTAGAGTCATTACAAGCACAGCACAATGACAATGACTTGTATAGCACTTGGTAAAGAACCAAACCAATATTACTTATTGATAAGGATGACATTTCATTAGATCAAAGGTGATATAATAAGGAGACGTGAGAGGGAGAGAAGCCAGCTACTTCCTTCAGACAAAGCCTCAGAGGTGAGCAATACACTTGCAGTCCTTAATTACACTGGTCTCTTCTCTGGCTTTGGATACTCTGATCTCCATAAAACACTTAAGAATCACCCTAGTTTCATCAATACCAAAAGTAGTTTACTCTGCATATGATTTATCTCACCTGCTTAATGACGCTACAGGATTTAATCTCATAAGGTAATATTCCCTGACCTTGATTTAAAAGTGGGGGAAGGTAGTATGGAGATGGAATGACACCTTTACATTCCATGACACAGCCCTCTGTGGCACTACTCAGTCATCCCTAAGTGTCACATAGTTAACTCCATCAGTCTTGGCTTCATTGTCTCTCAATGGGATAGTCAGGTGAGGTAGAAGCTTCTGCTGTATTTTCAAAATAACTTTAAGTTACTTAAGTATTTCCTTTGTCATCTGATGACCAAAAAATATACAATGGCATTTTACCCAGTTATATATATAAACTTGAAAGACTAGGGCTTCAGACCATATATATAATCAAAATCTCTTATTTTAAAATCCAAGTTTAACATTCACTAAATTTTACTAAAACCATTTCCACTGTAAATAGGAAAACACTGTTAATTAAAAAATAAATTCCTAAATCATTACTCACTTCTACAATAAAGGCTTTTTAGAAACCTAATGATAACAATACCACTGAATGTATTTTCATTCTAAAATTCCCTTCATGATTTCCCCCTCATTTCTTAATATCTTATTTCTAAAAGAAACTTTTGTCTTCTTATCTGGGAGGATCCAAATCAAAAACACACAAAGCTGAGATGGATAGATCAGGATTAGGAGTAAGGAGGTTATTTCATCAAATTAAATTAATTCAACCAAATGTGGCTTAACCTACATAGCATTAGACACACTCCAATCTCTCTCAGAAGTTATAACCAAAAAAAAAACTTTTAAAACAGCCATTGAAGTTAGCTGGGCCTGTGAATCTTTCAGAGTAGCAGGACTGACAAGAAAAACAATAAAAACCTAAGGGTAGTTTCAGGGATGAACATTGAGTAAGCTATTGCTATTGCCTGTATACTTCCAAATGTATCATGAAGTGCTATAACCTAAAGATTGGGGAAGGGAAAAGAAATAAAGAATTGTAAAACCTTGCAACCTAGTCCCAATGAACAAAATTATGACTTTATGTGGTGAATAAATTGGCAAGAGATGAGATGGCTCTGAAGCAGTTCCTCCCACTGACTGGGTGAAGAAACCTCCCTAGCAATAGCTCACTAAAGGCTGATGTAAAACTCAATACCAGCCTCTGGTGTTCAGAGAGAGCAACACTCCTGGGTAATGGATCTTGTGATCCAACTACCACCAAAGTACCCTCTTGAGATGTAAATTAACCCCAGACAAAGAAAAACTTTATTCTGGCTATCTGCAGAAAGACATTCAGGTTTACCACAACACTGATCCAGTTCAAGAAACAATGCATGCCTAATGAATGCTGAGTACTTACAGTGAGAGAATCCCAAGTTTATATAAAAAATTATTTTTAAAAAACTTCAATGTTGTCCAATATATATGATAATATTACTGACTAACCAGTGCTGAATTGGTTTTTCAGTAGCAGAGATTGATTTGTACTGAATCAGCCACTTATTAACCTGGTCATTCTTATAATCAACATTTTCAAGATGACAGTCTAGGGTTAAGGATACAGAAATGGCCATGAAACATGAAACTCACTGGCTCATCCACAAATCAAAACTATATTCCTAACCTCACTGCACCTTTCCTAAAAATGCATAGCAACACTGATTTACTAAATGTTTCTCCCTTCTTCCTCAACTCACTCTTCCTTTTCTACCTCAGTCTATGCTGTCTCCTCAGTCTGAACTCTACCTATCCTTCAAAACTCAATTTAAATCCCATCTCATCTGTCTTCCCCGACCTCACATCACCAATGCTACCATGTCTCCCCCTCTCTGAATTCTAAACCACATTATTATCCATCCTCATTCACCTTAGCTGTTACTTTTTCCAACAAAACTGTGAGGTGCTTAAGGGCAGAAACCACATACTCCTCAGTATCACCTCCAGGACATTCAGCTGAGAGAACCTGGTATGTCTGCAGGAAGTATTCAGTTGCACTTAATAGTGTTAGGCCTCAATTTACAAATCAGGCATGACAGATAATAAATCAGTCTAAAAAGATCAACAACTTCCCCTCCATGTATCAAACTAAGGCTTAGAAAAACACCTAAAAAGTCTTTCAAATGATCCCTTTTCAAGAGCACTTTGAAGTGAGGACTTGAGATGGTAAGAAGAAAAGATATAAAAAGTCGCGGAAAGTTAGACTGTTTTCTCACTCCTAAAGGCAAACAGTGAACAGCAACTTAAAGATCAGAAGAGCTGAGGCCACACTGTTCAATAGGACATCACATTCAACATGTCACTGGTCACACACATACTGGCTGAATTCCAGACTCCTTCTCAGTAGTAAGGGAGCATTCTGGAGGCTCTGATGTCCGCTGACAAAAAAACAAGGCACCTGCTCTTCTCAGCACTGAAGTATGGCAAAAAGCACACAGACACAAACACAGCCGAATCAGCAAGCAAAACTAAAACAGCATGTAGATGACACTGCAACTATGAAGTTGGCGGTCGGGCAAAAAGAGAAGAAAAGAAAATGCTGTAAAAGCCTGAAAACGCACAACCTTTAGGTGAAAAAGACTAAAATAACTTTGGGCACTTTTCACTGGACTCCGTTTGTGTTTCCAAGAAATAAGACATACAGACACACTTTAGTAGGCTTTCTTACAGATTGTATGAGGCACTATAAACACTGAGGGAAGTTGTTAGACAGGCACCCTGTATTAAGGCTGAACACAGATACTTCTAAGGAAAAGAACAAACATAACTAGTTCTAAAGATGTGGCCAAAGGTAGGATTAACACTCATCCTGGTGGGTCTCCCTGTGGTAGCTATAACCCAACCCCAAGCAGCCTGTGCGACTGGCGTGCTGTAGCTGGCAAGCATGCTGCAGCAGCACTTTTTGTCACAGCCATAGCACTACCTCTCTAGGGGCTAACACAGTCTGGCAGATAGTGGTGAAAACCAATTTTACATCAGATGATGCGGTCCCCAGCATTCTGTCCTAGATCTTTTCTATTAAGTGAAGAGATAGAACGGGGGAGGACGGGTGGGTAAGGCAGGTGGTGCTAAAGACACTGGCAGCATGACAACTAAAATAAGCAAGTTGAAACAGTATGTTCTGCCTTCTTCCTAAAGCCATTTCCTTCAACAGTGATAGGGAGCGCAGGCAGTCTGCAAGTCATTAGTACACTGCTGTTTTCACTTTCACAAGAACGCTGGAAACCCCTGAATAGCAAAATCCCCCTCTCCATCCCAGTTACCTGCCAACCCTCTCTTTCTTTCCGTGCTTTCTTCCTCCTTTCTTCCCTAGAGACAACCGAATAAGGACAATCCTCAGCAATCCGCTATTTTGCTTCAATGAGGATGGGGGAGGGGAGGATCTGGTGAAAAGTGGAAAAGGAAATAGAGAAAGGTGAGAAGCAACAGCGGAAAGAGTATCGAGTGGGGGAAAAAGAGAGGTCATCGTGGGAAGGAGACAAGGTGAAGAAGAGTGCAAGAAAACTGAGGGGATGTCAGAAGAGAACTTGCTAAAGAAGACCAAAAAAAAAAAAAAAAAGAAAATGGAGGGGGAGGGCCGGTCAAGAGGGGAGAGAGAGTGAGGGGCAGGTGGAGCATGCGAGCGGGAGTTACGGAGCCAGGACCGGGACGCCCGAGGTTTGGGGCCAGCGACCGGGAGGCAGCAAGTACTTGGGAGACCGATGTCAGGGGAGTCGGGGATGGGCGGGAAGCTTAAGACCTGTTCCGGGATATCGGGGCGAGGAATCCAGGCCGATGCCCGAGCGCAGAGGACACAGAGCTCTTACCGGTAGTTTGGGGCTGACCTCGCCCTTGCAAAAGTGGCAGAAAAACCGGTGCGCGGCAACCGCGGCGCCCGCGCCGGCCCCGGCCGCCGAGGCCTCCGCCATTTTTCTCTTTCGCCGCGGCCGTCCGAGAGGGCAGCCGGCCGGTCGCTCTCCAGGTCGCTACCTCCCAGCTGCTGTCGCCGCCTATGCCGCCGCCGCCGCCGCTTCCTTAGCGCTGCCAGCCGCTCCAGAGCCAGCGCGGGTCACGTGAGTTCGCCCGGCCCACAGAGGCGGTGGCGCAGACAGCGACCCCGAGGCCCGCCTCCCAGCACCAAAGAGGGGCAGGAAGGAGAGTCCGCCAGCCGCGGCCCGCCCGCCGGCTCCTCAAACAGCCCCTCGCCGGTCCTCCAATCTCCCAGCGAGAAGAAAGAAAGAGCGTCCCCGGAAACCACCGAAACGCTGGGGTAGAGCGGCACATGTTTTGCCTCTTTGCCGGTCCTCCTCGGTGACCGTGCTCCTGCGCGAAAGGACCTTGGGCTCCCCCTCTGCCCGGGCGGCCAGCGGGAGCTATACGAAGCTGCAGTGGGGAAGTCGGCGGCGTTACGTGGCATTGACCCAGAGGTTAGTGGAAAATGCGGTCTGAACGAGGTGGCCCTGTCTCTGGACCCAGGGACCCAGTCCGGGACAGGAACCTGCGGTAAAGAAGTGAAGAGCCAGGAGCCGGACTCCTTGGAAATACTTTCCGGGGATGGCAGAGGGTCTGGGGATGCTTCCCCAAAGACCTGTGGATGGGGATAGTGAGACTGAAAGGCAGAGTCTTGGCTTCTGAAGAATTGGGAGAAATAAGTGAACAAACCAGTGTTTGATAGCACTTGTGATAATAAGGAAGTGATTATACAGTGGACTATGTCTGTTTCTCTTTGTGTATACTTTGTCAAGGAATAGAAATTTCAGAATTAAATACTGCCCTGCCAACAACATACTTCATCCCCTATTTGAAACACCTTGTTGAGAAGCTCTCATTTACCTCTTAGTTTATTTTGCAAAGTTGTCATTGCCTGTTCAGTCCCAATAGTCTGTGAATAGTGGTCTTAATTCTTCCAAACAATGAAGTATAGAATCTGAGGTCTGTGACAGATCGCAAAACCATCTACATCCGATCTTTAAAGTAAACTAGAATCACACATGATCCCATAAAGATAAACTTGATATTTAGTCTTCCAGTCTTTTTTTTCATGCATACGTGTGAGGCTATTTCCACAGTAATTGAACTTTCCTCTACATTTTGCTTTGTAATGAACAATTTTCTACACTAATACATATTATACTTTATTGTGAATGTTGGCATAGTATTCCATTATATGAGTATACCATAATTTATTGAAATAATCACTTATGAGGTTGTTTCCAGAATATCAGTATTCTAAAGTGACATGTTTTTATTATTCCCTTGGAACAGAATATCCAAAACAAAAGTATTAGGTCAAAGATATGCAAGATTTTAAGGCTTTTGATATATCTGCTGTCAAATTGCTCTCAGAAAGTACATGAATTTACACTCAGCAGCTCTACTCCCAACATAAAAGAAAAACTTCCCATCATACCATCTTTTTCTTTTTTTCCTAGCTCTGAGACTCCTCAGCACAATGACTCAAGCAGAAATTAAACTGTGTTCTTTGTTGCTGCAAGAGCATTTTGGAGAGATCGTAGAAAAAATTGGAGTCCACCTAATCAGAACTGGCAGCCAGCCACTAAGAGTTATTGCCCATGACACAGGAACATCGTTGGATCAGGTATGTTTGGATCACAGTAATTTGCTTCCATTTCATTAATTTCTTTAACCTACCTTTGAATATTGTTACTCCCCACCCCACAAAATGGAAAAGAAGGCAAAGTCTGTGCTAGGATCAGAATAGTGTTATTTGGGAGGGGAAAGATGATGAGACATAGTGCCCAGGGTTCTGCTTCTCAAAGTGGCTCATCGTGGCTTCTGAGGCAAATCTTGCTCCTCCTCTGCCGTATGCCATACTTCATTTATTCATGAGTCTATTAATTTCAGTACTGTGTTTAAGGAATAAGAATAATAGAGGGAAAAAAAAAAAAGAATAATAGAGGGGATGGGACTTCCCTGGTGGTGCAGTGGTTAAGAATCTGTCTGCTAATGCTGGGGACATGGGTTCCAGCCCTGGTCCGGGAAGATCCCACATGCCGCGGAGCAACGAAGCCTGTGCGCCACAACTACTGAGCCTGTGCTCTAGTCCCCACGAGCCACAACTGCCGAGCCCGCGTGCCGCAACCACTGAAGCCCATGAGCCTAAAGCCCGCACCCCGCAACTAAAGAAGCCACCACAATGAGAAGCCCACACACCACAACGAAGAGTAGCCCCCACTCACCGCAACTAGAGAATGCCCACATGCAGCAGGAAGACCCAAATGCAGCCAAAAATTAATTAATTAAGTAATTAATTAAAAAAAAAAGAATAACAGAGGGGAAGTAAATTGTACTTTGAAAGATAAAGATCAGAGGAAATATGAGCATCAGAGCAAGGACTCTTCCTGATTTCTTCCATTGACATTCGCTTCTTATTAGCTATTCCAATGGAGAGAGGGAAGACACACAGAGATTCCAGCCATCTCCTGATGTTTAGGAAACTGTTGGACAAAAATTGCCAGCAGTAATGAGCTGCATCTTCAGATTTTTCTTCTCTTTCTTCTGTGTTTTCTCTAGGTAAAAAAAGCCCTTTGTGTCCTCATCCAGCATAACCTGGTGATATATCAGGTGCACAAACGTGGTGTGGTAGAGTATGAAGCCCAGTGCAGCCGGGTGTTGCGAATGCTTAGGTATCCCCGGTACATCTATACTGCCAAAACGCTGTACAGTGACACTGGTGAGCTGATTGTTGAGGAGCTCCTGTTGAATGGCAAGATGGCAATGTCAGCTGTCGTGAAGAAAGTAGCAGATCGGCTCACAGAGACTATGGAGGGTCAGTACTGTATCCACAGCTGTTAGCAAAAGCATAGATTGGCTGGCTGCAGGAGAGGACCCTTAGCTATCTGAGGCCATCTCACTTGCCTCTTTCCTCCTGTCATACAGATGGCAAGACCATGGACTATGCTGAGGTCTCAAACACATTTGTGCGACTAGCAGACACACACTTTGTGCAGCGTTGCCCCTTGGTGCCTGCCACTGAGAATTCAGACCCTGGGCCACCGCCACCTGCCCCCACTCTTGTCATCAGTGAAAAGGACATGTACCTGGTTCCTAAACTGAGCTTGATAGGTAAGGAATTTTGGCCCCTAGATCTGTGATTTGACCTAATTGTAGATTCTTCCTTAATGACTGTTAAATGAATGACTCAATCAATTAAGCAGTTACCAAGGATTTACTCTATGCCAGATACTGTGGTATAAAGAGATGAAAAAACCATTATGGTCCCTGCCCGTATGGGGCTTAAGTCTAGTATAGGAGGCTTACATTAATCAAATAGCCTGATGGATATATAACTAACAAACTGCGATAAGTACTATGAAGGTAAAATATGGGATGTTATGAAAATATATAACAGGGGACCAGATTTACCCGGGGACTTGGGCACATGCTTCTTGGAGAAAGTGGCATTTGAACTAAGGTTTGAAGCAGAAGTAGGAGCCAACCAGTGAAGTAAGGTACGAAGGGGTACAGAGGATAAGCATTTTTGGCAAAAGGAATAGTATGTAGTGAGGAAAAAAATAGGAATTTGAGAAAGTAAAAGAAGATCAGTATAGTTAAAGTACAGTGAGGAAAGGAAAGAGAGCCATAAGTTAAGGTTAGACAGACAGGGGCTAGATCATGCAAGACCTCGTAAAGCACCTGTTCTTTATCCTAAGAGCAAAGGAAAACTACTAAAGGATTTTAAAGGAAGTAACATGATCTAATTTGCATTTTTTAAATATGTTTCTGTCTGTAGAAAGGATGGGGCAATTTTTCACAAACCAGTGAAAAATTAGACATAGGAAGGGTGAGGAAGACAGAAATCAAGAATGACATCTGTGTGTCTGGCTTGAGTATGTGGGAGGATGATGGTACCATTCACTGTGAAAGGAAGCATTGGAGCAGGAGCAGTTTGAGGGAGAAAGACTATGAATTTCTTTTTGAACTTGTTGAGTTTCAGATGACTTCATCATTAACTTGAATTTCTTGTAGTTCCTGAGTCTCCTCAACATCTCTAACCTAGAGGTAGCTACAGATGTCTTTGGGATAGAGACACCTGCTTTCACCTTCGGTCATTTCCTGTTATCATATGAGGTGTAGCCTAACTGTGTAACTGTTTTGTTTGGCAGGGAAAGGTAAAAGGAGGAGATCATCTGACGAAGATGCAACTGGGGAGCCCAAGGCCAAGAGACCAAAACATACCACAGATAACAAAGAGGTAATGAGGCTTCTTGGTTAGGAGTCCTCACCCTGAGGCAAGCCAGAAAGAGCACTAAGATGACAAGCCCCAAAAGAGCTTAAACGTTCTTGGATCGAGGAGTGGTAGGATTATGAACTTCATTAAATATTGGCCAGGGATAGACTAACAAAGAGTGAACTCTGTTGCTGTGTCCCTTCTGAGGCTTAACTTACTTCAGTCATTGGACAGAGGTAATAGATTAGGCAGAAAAAGCGCCTAGAAAAGTTTAAATTGGTCAGTATGACTGGACCATAGAGACCCATGGGGATGAGTGGTGATAAATGAGTTTAGAAAGATGCGTATAGGCCTGAGCTCTTATATTCAAATGCCTTCTCAGCATCCCTGTAAAAACATCTGATAAGCATCTCAAAAGTAGTATGGCTAAAACAGAGTAATCGATTTCCTGCTCCCAGATATCTACTCCCTCCTAAGCTTTCCTCATCTTAGTTAGGGACACCACCAAGGCCAACCACCCAGGACACCATTTGCTTAGGCCAAAGTCCTAGGAGCCATCTGATCTCGCAGTAAAACCTGTTAACCCAATTTCTAAAAATAATTGAAATCCAACTATTTCTTATCGTTTCCACTGCCATCACCCTAGTCCAAACCATTATCACTGTAGTCAAGACTTTGCCAACACTCTCCTAAGTGGTCTCCCTACCTGCATTCATACCTACTTAAGAGCCAGAATGACTTTCTAAATTGTTCTTTTTAAAAAATCCCAACACATCACTGATTTTTGACTCCTTTAATAGCTTCCCATTACTCTTAGAAGAAATCCAGTTCTTTACTATGGATTATGAAGCCTTACATGAGCTGCGTCTTTTTTTTTTTTTTTAATGAATTTATTTATTTATTTTTGGCTGTGTTGGGTCTTTGTTTCTGTGCGAGGGCTTTCTCTAGTTGCGGTGAGCGGGGGCCACTCTTCATTGCGGTGCGCGGGCCTCTCACTGTCGCGGCCTTCTTTTGTTGCGGAGCACCGGCTCCAGACACGCAGGCTCAGTAGCAGTGGTGCGCGGGCTTAGTTGCTCCGTGGCATGTGGGATTTTCCCAGACCAGGGCTCGAACCCGTGTCCCCTGCATTGACAGGCAGATTCTCAACCACTGCACCACCAAGGAAGCCCGAGCTGAGTCTTTACATGATCTGCTGGAGACAAGGCTCTCCAACCTCAGCTCTTCCTACTCTGTCATTCACTGTGTTCCAGCTTCTATCATTTTTTCCATCCTTCAAATGTATCATACTCTTTCTAGTCTTCAGGCTTTTGCCCTTAGGATTTCTTCTGCTTCAAATACTTTTCCCTCAGATCTTCATGTAGTTGCCTCTTTTTCATCATTCCGATCTCAGCTCAAATGCTACTTTCTTAGAGCTCAAGCACCATTGCCCACCCTCTACTCCAGTCTCTACCACATTTTCGCATTTCATCTTCACAGCATTTATAAGTAGCTGAAATTACTTATTATTTGTACAAGTGTTTGTCTCTGTACTCCCAATAGTCTATAAACTCTTCAAGGACAGTATCTTGTCCCTGGCACCTGGAATACTCGCAAGACATCAATAAATATTTCTTGATTGACTAACTAAGAAGTTTGGACTTCAACCTGAAGACAGTGGGGAGCCATTGATGAATTTTAGGCAGGTGAATGAAGTGGCTAGATTTACATTTTAGAAATATTACTATAATACAGTGGTTTATAACTTGTACAACTCCATGGATGCGTTTCAGAGAGTCCACCTGTACCATGTGCATTTTTCTATAGAGCACTCCATAGCTTTCTTCAGGGGAACTGTTGAGCCCAAGAGGTAAAAAGAAGCACTGCTCTATGAGAAATGGGGAGAACGATGCAAAAGGAACAAGATTAAATGCAGAAAACCCAGTTGCCCTTTTTTATAGTGTCCACTATATGAAAAAGAAAAATGAAAACCAGTTAAGAGGCTACTGTAGTAACCAGGTGAGTCAAGATTAGAGCCTGAAATAAGGTAATGACAGTCAGGATAAAGAAAAGTAGACTTCTGATTAATATAAAGAATAGGTAGGGGGCTTCCCTGGTGGCGCAGTGGTTAAGAATCCGCCTGCCAATGCAGGGGACATGGGTTCAAGCCCTGGTCCTGGAAGATCCCGCATGCCACGGAGCAAATAAGCCCATGCACCACAACTACTGAGCCTGCACTCTAGAGCCTGCGAGCCACAACTACTGAAGCCCACGTGCTTAGAGCCCATGCTCTGCAACAAGAGAAGCCACCGCAATGAGAAGCCCACGCACTGCAACAAAGAGTAGCCCCCACTCGCCGCAACTAGAGAAAGCCCACTTGCAGCAACGAAGACCCCACACAGCCAAAAATAAATAAATAAAATAAATTAAAAAAAAAAGAATAGATAGAACTGGGTAATTGGATAGTAGATGAGGGAGAGCAAGGGGTTAGGGATGATATTCAAGTTTCTAGCTTAAAAAACTGGGTTGGTTGTAGTGTAGTTAGCTGAAAACTTAAAAGTTTTAAGTCACAGGTGGAAGTAGGCAGTTGAGTCTATGCACCTGGAACTTAATAGAGAGTTCTAGAATTAAAGTAGACTTGGAACAGTTGAAACCTTGAGAGCAGATTAAATCACCTAAGTAGAATATGTAGAGTGAAAAGAAAAGAAGGCTGTGGACACAACCCTGGGGAACACCAGTATTTATAGATGGGATCTGGAAAAGGAATCTGTGGGGACTGAGGAAGGGTAGCCAGAGTGGTTAGAAGGAGCACCAAGAAAGAATGGTGTCATAAAGTCTAAGGGGCCACATAGAGTTAAGGAGAAAATGTCCAACCATGTCATATGCTTTAGAAATATCAAATAAGATTGGAACTGGACAGTATTCTTTGAACTTAGCAACAGGTTCCTCAGGAACTTTGGCATTTCAGTGTAACGGTGGAAATGGGTTGAGTAAATCTGTGAATGGGGATACAGCTGGGATGACCAACTCTTTGAGAAGCTCAAATTTTTTTTAAATAAAGAAATGTGGTGGGGATGTGTGCACCACGCTGAATGAGTTCTGGCCTAATGGCTTCTATTTGCTCTCTGAAATAAGAAGCAAGGTCATCTGCTGAGAGAGAAGGGAGGGGCAAATGGGAGATTTTGAGAACACTGGTAAAGAGTTAAACTAGACAAAGATTCGAGGTAAGCAAAGAGAATCTGTTTGAAGTTGGGGGTTGTGAATTTGTCATTGTGGAGGCACTAAATCCACATGGTTGAATGGTTTTTTCCTCCAACCAATTTAGTTGCTACTATATAGGAAAAGAAATGGTGAACAGTTAAATCCAAGCTTCTCACTAGAAAATGCTTCCTTGTATCTAAATGTTTCTCTCTAATCTTTTTCTCCTCCTCAGCCCATTCCAGATGATGGGATTTATTGGCAGGCCAACCTTGACAGATTCCACCAGCACTTCCGTGACCAAGGCATTGTCAGTGCAGTTGCCAACAGGATGGACCAGGTGATATCTAAGTGGGTGGGACAGTGGCTATCAGGAATATTCACTTATTTGCAGATGTGGCCATTGGCATATAGCCAGAGCCAGCACAGCAGAGTGAATTCTGATTTCCAGTTCACTTTTCAAACCCAGACAAGCAGCGAGATCGTGCGGACCATGCTCCGGATGAGTGAGATTACCACTTCCTCTAGTGCCCCCTTCACCCAGCCATTGTCTTCCAACGAGGTGAGCTTCATGTTCTTGTACTAGTTTTCTGACAGGCTCTTGGATATAATAATTATTATACATAGAGCCTGCGATTAGGTTGAGGTCTGAACCTTGAAAGGAAGGGTTTTTGCTATTTGAGGAGGGACGGGGATTATTCTTAGGTGGTAGGTACTGAAATATTTGGTCTCTTGGGAATTCAACCTTTAAAAACCTAAACCATTACCTTAGTCAAAGTATAAGTAATTCTTTTTTTATTTTTAATTTATTTTATTGAAGTATAGTTGATTTATAATGTTGTGTTAATGTCTGCTGTATAGCAAAGTAATTCAGTTATACATATATACATTCTTTTCCATATTCTTTTCCATTATGGTTTATCACAGGATATTGAATATAGTTCCATGTGCTATACAGTAGGACCTTGTTGTTTATCCATCCTATATATAATAGTTTACATCTGCTAATCCCAAAATCCCAATCCATTCTTCCCCCACCCACCTCCCCCTTGGCAACCACAAGTGTGTTCTCTATGTCTATGAGTCTGTTTCTATTTTGTAGATAAGTTCATTTGTGTCATATTTTAGATTCCACATAGAAGTGATTCTGTATGGTATTTGTCTTTCTGACTTCATTTAGTATGATAATCTCAAGGTCCATCCATGGCTGAGTAGTATTTTATTGTGTGTGTATACATATATATATATATATATATATATATATATATATAGTATAAGTTATTCTAAATTGTTCTAAGAATCCACTGTTTGGAATCTGAGCCTTGGTACTCAGGACATTATATGGCCCCTTATATTTGTTTTTTTCAATATATTTTGTATATTTTAAATTTGTTTAAAATGCTTTGTTCATTGTTTTGTTTATTGAAAATTTAATATTTAATATTTCAAATGTTTTATTTGTAATTATACTAATTTTTTGTAATTATACTAAAATTTATCCAAATTAAATATAGTTATATTATTTAAAATTTTTTTAACTTACTATATAAAATTTAAATACAAGTTTTTTTTTGATGACAAAAGTAATTACATGACCTGTATTCAAACAGCATAGAAATGTATAATTTTTTTAAACTTGTAGTTCCCCAAACTTTCAGGAATGCCAGGCATGTTCTATATCTTGAAGATGGTAGTTATGTGGGTATATACAATTGTCAATACTCATCAAACTGTACCCTTAAAATCTGTGCTTCTTGTATGTAACATACCCCAGTTTAAATAAATATATAGTTTTGCATAATCCCAGCCCCAGAGATCCTTGTCCGTAGTTTGGTACATATCTTTATTCAGACTTTTTTATATGTGTAGTCTCACATAAATGTAGATATTTATTTATTTATTTATTTATTTATTTATGGCTGTGTTGGGTCTTCGTTTCTGTGCGAGGGCTTTCTCTAGTTGTGGCAAGCGGGGGCCACTCTTCATCGCGGTGCGTGGGCCTCTCACTATCTCGGCCTCTCTTGTTGCGGAGCACAGGCTCCAGACGCGCAGGCTCAGTAGTGGCTCACAGGCCCAGTTGTTCCGCAGCACGTGGGATCTTCCCAGAACAGGGCTCAAACCCGTGTCCCCTGCATTAGCAGGCAGATTCTCAACCACTGCGCCACCAGGGAAGCCCTGTATTTTTTAACAACAAAAAAATATGGGGTTATACTCTATGTACTGTTCTAAACTAGCTTCTTTCATATGACAGTATACGTAAACTTTCTTTTCATGTCAGTATTTTTAGATCTGCCTCATTCTTTATAATGGCCGTATCATATTCCACTTAATGGCCATGATGTACTTTATTTTAATGAATTCCTTATTACTGGACATGCGAATTGTTTCTAGTTTTTTACTCTTATCAACAATGCTGCTGTGCTTTTGGACATTATTATACTTGTGATATCTAAAATTAAAACATCTTTATTTCAGCAATGTCAGCAGTTCTAAGTTCCCAGACCCATTTTCACTGTATCTTTTGCTCCACAGATCTTCAGATCCCTACCTGTTGGCTATAACATCTCTAAGCAAGTTCTTGATCAGTATCTCACTCTGCTGGCAGATGATCCAGTAAGTCTTTTCTTTCTTTTTTCCGCTGTATTTACGATTAATTTTTGCCTGCTATCAGTCTTCTGTAGCCTCATTCTCTACCTAGCCAGCTCAGACAATTTCTCTACCATCATCTGATAGGAGGGCTTCCTGCTGCAGACTCTTGGCCAGATTTGCTCTTTTGGAAACAGGATCACTGGACTTTCCATTCAAATAACACAAGCTCTCTTTTTTTTTTTTGTTCCTTTTTTTTAATAGCTTGAGTTTGTTGGAAAGTCTGGCGACAGTGGTGGAGGAATGTATGTCATCAGTATCCTTATGGGTGGTTATTTCCTTACAGTCAGGCAGCGTGAACTATGAAACAGAATGGTGACTTAGAAAAGATTTGATGATATTTAGTATACTAAGTAAGTTAGAAAATTGAACTAAAACATTGATGATAAAGAAGTGAAAGGGACTTTTAACGAACCAAATTTTAGTTAAGCAAAACTCTGACTTAAGCACCTTAGTTAATTAAGGTTTCGAAATACTTACATACCATAAATGAGACTAGTGTGAAAAACAAAATAGTATTTAAGTTTTAAATTAAAGACTCAGGGATAAAACTAAGATCACAATGACCAGGCCAAAACATTACGGCGTAACCTTAACCCACTACATAAAGACCTACATAAGGCTCTAGGATCTCTAGCCACAGCCACTCTGGAGTCAGTCATACAAGAGAGGTAAGGGGGTCACCCTGATTGGGGTTGGGGGTCAGATACTTCCTTTCCACACCCCATTTGAACAAGTGACTTGGTCATTATGTCAGTAACCAATATAGACACACCTTGGCACATCTTGCCCCATTTTCCGCTGGACTGCTGTGGATCCCACCTACTACAGCTCTTTACCCTAAATACCCTGCTGCTTAATTCCCAGTGATGCCAATGAACCATCCTTCCTAAAGCCTTTACTTACAAATGCAGGAACTGAGGCATTCAGGTGAGTCAGCAGTTGGTGACTCTTATGATTAGCGGTATTGTCATCAGTCTGTGGAGTTATGAAGGAATTCTCTGATTGCTGTTCCTCTCTGGTCCTGTCTCCACACGTGGAAACCGAACAAGCACCATCTGTGACTAAGAGCTAAAGCTAATCTACGTCGGCATGCCATTTGCTTTCTTTATTCCTTTACAGATTTGGGTCTCGCTGTGCCAGAATATTCCGTTTAGTTTTACAAAAGAAACACCTGGAGCAGAAACAGGTAGAAGACTTTGCAATGATTCCAGCAAAGGAGGCAAAGGATATGCTTTATAAAATGCTCTCAGAAAATTTCATATCACTCCAGGTAACAGTAATCACCAACCAACAGAGCTGACCTAGGATGAGAGGAACTCCTGAAGCAAACATTCTGAACCCCAAACAAACTGTATCCAGCTCTGAGACAGAAAAAAAAAAAGATTAACAAAGACATAGCAAGCACTTGAAAGATAACTGTGGAGCTTTAACCGGCCTAGTAAAAAAGAGGCATAGCCAAGAAATTACCCCAGAATCACCCTCCCTTTTTTCTTTAACTCCTAGTCCGTGTGATTTGTCCTTTCCTCGAGCCTTAAGTTTATTGTAGATTAACTCTATCGGGTCATCACTACATGCAGAGCCATGTAGTATACCCTATGAGGAAACAGATAGAATGGATTTTGGAGTCAGAATCACAGCTCTGCCTCTTACCCAGTTACACTGAGCAAATTACCTACCATCTTTTTTCCCATCTACAAAATGGTGATGGATGGTGGTAACAGAGACAATATGGCTTGTTATAAGATCAGATACAATCTACCTGGCACATAAGAGTTGCTTAGTAAATGTTAAGTGCCTTCTCTTTCTTCTCCACTCAGGATGTTGACAGTCAAATGGAAAAAACAGGGCAGCCCAACCCTCCATGTGGCTGATTGTACCATAAACACAGATGCTGTATGACTGGGGAAGAGTGAAAGTATAAGTGAAAGAGAGGGCTGAGTAGCTCCAGACGGGACAGGTGTTTACTTTGCCATTTCTGAAGAAAAGTATAAAGTCTTATTTTTCTTTCTATGGACAAATAGGAAATTCCCAAAACACCAGACCATGCGCCATCCAGGACCTTCTATTTATATACTGTGAACATCCTGTCAGCTGCCCGAATGTTGCTGCACAGATGCTACAAGGTAACTCCTCCCCAGTCCATCCACAGAGATGTCTCACCCTCATGCCTCCTTTAGCCATTTTGCCTGAGCTGCGTAAATAGAACTGTGTGCATTTCTCGTCTTCTCTCCCCTCAGAGTGTAGCCAACTTGATAGAAAGGAGGCAATTTGAAACCAAAGAAAACAAGTGAGTAACATTTTCAGTTGAGTAATTACATTTTACAAGGCCAAAAGGCTTATGGGGAAATTTCCTATAGAAGTGGAAACCAACAGAGACAATAACCAGTCTGGTTGCACTGAATTATTGGCTTAGGTTGGCATAAAGATGCATTAGTATACACTTTTCTTGTATGTCCCCAGTGAAATAATTTTGCAGATTAAATTTATGAGCAACGTATAAACTGGCACCAAACTTTAAGTACAAATGAGAGGCAGCAAGAGTTTCAGGAGTGAAGTCACATTTCTAATTAAGCTTGTAGAAAATGTCCTTCCTTAGAGAGTGACATTATCCACTTTGACCAGGAACATGGTAAAAGGGGGAGCTATGCCCCAGGGCTATGGGATAAAAGAATCTCCAAGGCTAGAGGACATGCCTCAGAGTTGCCTTTGTCTGACAGGCGTCTACTGGAAAAGTCTCAGAGGGTAGAAGCCATCATTGCATCTATGCAGGCTACAGGTGCAGAGGAGGCACAGCTACAAGAAATAGAGGAGATGATCACAGCCCCTGAACGCCAGCAGCTAGAGACCCTGAAACGTAATGTCAACAAGTAAGCATCATAAACTTCAAACGTATGTTTCAAAATACCTTGCAGACAAATCCATCTTGATATCCTGCTACCCCTCCAACTTAAGGTGAGGAAACCGAAACTCACTCTCTTCTTCCCCACCTCAATTAACAGAATTTAATCCACCTATTTCCCTAAGCTAAAAACTCTGAAGACATGTTCAGCTTCTCCTCGCTCACCAGCCGCTCCCCCCGCCACACACACACACTCTCTCATTCACCAAAGCTGCTGATTTTACTTCAGTGTGTCCCAAATCTGGCCTTTCATCTTGCTTCCCATGCAGGCCCTCCTCACCTCTTTGCCAGACCTTTGCAAATCACCTCCTGCTTCAAACCATTTCTTATAATGCTTTCACAGTTAGTATCTTTAAAGTGATTGACAATATCACTCTTCTGCTTTAAATGCTATATTGACTCCTCGTTTACAGTATAAAGACCAGACTCCTTGGCATAACATATAAGGCCTTTCACAGTCTCATAACAGCCTATCTCTTCATCCTCATTTCCTTTCACTGCTCACCGTTGACCTTCATAGGGATTTTGCTTTGAATCTGTAGATCACTCTGTGGAGTATTGCTTTCTTAATGATACTAAATCTTCCAACTCATGAACATGGAAGGTCTTTCCATTTACTTAGATCTTCCTTTGTCTCTTTCAATGAGTTTTGTCGTTTTTGGTATTCGTCTTGTACTTTTTTGTTAGATTTATTCCTAAACAATTGTTTTAGTGTTTTCTTAAATTTCATTTTTGAATTGTTCATTGCCAGTGTATGAAATAGAATTGATTTTTGTGTTTTGATTTTATATCCTATAGTTTTGCTAAATTCATTTATTAGCTGTGGTAGGTTTTTTTGTGGATCCTTTGAGCTTTTTCTGTATATAAGATCATGTCATCTGTGAATTAGAAATAGCTTTACTTCTTCCTTTTCAATCTGGACGCCTTTTATTTGTTTTTCTTGTCTAATTTCCAGACTAGAACTTCCAGTAAAATGTTGAATGGAAGTAAAAGCAGACATCTTGTCTTGTTCCTGATCACAGGAGGAAAGCTTTGTCTTTCACCACGAAGTATGATGCTAGGTGTGGGTTTTTCCTAGATGGCTTTTATCAGGTTGATGAAGTGTTCCCTTCTATTCCTAATCACTTTAAGCCTTAGCCACTCTCCGCTTCTATTTTAAAACACACTAGGTCCTTTTACACCTGTGCCTTTAACATGTGCTGTCTTCCTCCTCATTGCAAGTTAGAATGTAACTTCTCCTGGGACAGAGGCCTTATCTTTTGAATCCTCAGCAATTTCCACAGTACCTGGCACATAAGAGATGCTCAGTAAGTGGGAGGAATGATCTGTTGGTTCTCTTGCTTTCCGCCCAGTACTTTCAGGAGTAACCCAGCAATTCTCCATGACCACACACACTCCAGCCTCTAATCTTAAATATGCTAATGAATGTTCAGTGTGGGCAAATGCTTTCACTTTTTCACTCAGGTTGGATGCCTGTGAGATCCAGGTGGATGAAACCATCTTCCTGCTGGAGTCATACATCGAGAGCACCGTGAAGAGACAATGACCCAGAAGAAGAGTCTTCCTCAGAAGATCTGAGGGGATTGGAAGGAAGAATAAAGGAGGTGCCTAGATGCATTCTTTGCAGTAGGATAAGTTCCGGATTCTTGTACTGAAACCCTCTCTCTATCCCTACCACCCAGAATACACCAGAAAGAGTTTGACATATTTTTTTAAGTTTGCTGATCCTGTTTTAGAATCATCACTATATTCTACCCTCATCAAATCTTGGCAGGGGAAAGAACCTTAAATCAACTAGATTAATCATCTATCACATGCATCATTTCCCACCAAGAAGTCAGCTACGGCTGTGTTTGAACATCCCTGACAGTGAGAAAAACTTCTCCCAAAGCTGTTCGTTCCATTTTCAAAAGGCTACACCTGTTCTTTACTTTGTTAAACTGTAATCTTAAACACACACACACACACACACAATGTAGGGAATGTGAAAGACTACCACAGAGGGGGGATAAAAGCTATTTTCAGGGCTAGCAGGTGGATTGGCCCAAGCAGTCACACTAGAATCTATGGATAAAAGTTACATTTGCCAGCTCCGGGCTTCTAACACGTCTGAAATTATCTATGTGAAACACTTAGCACAATGCCTGGCATGTGATAAGCACTCAATAAATCACTGCCTTCCTCTTCACCATGGTTCCTAAAAACTGGCAATTCTAACTTCTCTCTCCTAGTACCATGGACAGATGACTAATCTAGTTGACATAATTTGTCCCAGCAGCTTCAGTTTCATTTAAAGCAGGTGTTGTTTTATAATCTCTTCAGTTTCCTCTTACCAGTGTTAGTTCTAATTCATTAAACATTTGAATGCCAATTAATTGCCAGCCACTATACTAGGTATAATATACAAAGATAAATACAATACCATCTCTGCCTTCAAGGCACTTACCATCATTTACTGAGCACCAGTTATGTGCCCGGTATGTCCCCAGGCCTTGGGGATGCAAAGATGAATAGCCTTGAGCATACAGCCTAGTGGAGGGAGACAGATAAGTACAAGGAAGTGTTGGGGGGGGGGTGCTATAGTGGGAAAGTATCATACAGAGGCAAAGGGGAAAAGGGTCAGGCAGGAAAGGGAGCATAGAGAAGGTGACACAATCCGTATTTTGAAAGATGGGGATTTGCCAGGTGGAAGGGAAAAAGGATCCCAGAGGGAAGCAGAGCCTGTTTCTTGGGGGAACAGGGAATAACATGTGACTGAAAAACAGGGCATATGTCCTGCCAGAATTGACAGGCAGGGGCAAGGACTGGTGGGTGTGTAGCAAGGATGCTGTGTTAAGTAGCTTATCTTATCCTGAGAGCAGTGGGAAGCAAAGTGAGCAGATCTGTATTAGAAAGATCACTCTGGCCGCACTGTAGAGAATGAATTGGTGGAGGCAGGACTATTTAAAGACTTGTAATAGTATCTCAGGCAGAATATGAGGAAGGCTTGAACTGGGCAATGGTGGCTGGAGATTAGGACATGGATTTGAGAAAGTTTAAGGAAGTAGAATCTGCTGCACTTGGTTGCCATTTGAGTGAAAAGAAAGGGAAGGTGGGACTTCCCTGGTGTTCAGTTGTTAAGAATCCGCCTTCCGATGCAGGGGACTCCCGGCTCCATCCCTGGTTGGGGAACTAAGATCCCACATGCTGGGGCAACTAGGCCCCTGGCGCTCTGGAGCCTGCATGCCACAACTATAGAGAAGCCTGCATGTCACAACTATAGAGAAGCCCACAGGCGGCAACAAAAGTTCCCACATGCTGCAACTAAGACCCCACACAACCATAAATAAATTAAACGAGAAAAAAAAAAAAGGGAAGGTGTCAAAAATGTTTCTTGGGTGTCTGGCTAAGAGACAGATGTAATTCACTAATTGGAGGTGTTACCTGCTATACCAGATAGGTGTGCAGAGTGCCATGGAGGGGTGCTTATCGTTCCGCCCATGGCTGGTGGGAGATGACACGTGAATCCAGAAATCATTCCGTCTGGGGATCATTTTCCTAAACAGAAGATGGGAGGAAAAGAGGAGCTGAGGATTTAGAGTTGTTCCCCTTTGTCATTTACCTATCACACCCCTGGTTCATCCCCAAGTGTCTTGCCTAAATTTCCCGGGGGAAGTCCCGGAAGCCGGGCTTCCTTCCCACCCGGCGGAAGGCTCCGAGGGGAAGCCCGCTGGGCCACTAGAGGGCGCGGAGTGGGCCGCAGAGACCCCAGAGCCGCGTTATGGCGGCGGCGAGGGTGCTTCTCCTGTCCGGACGGCCGGAGTCGGTGAGCTTCGCGCAGAGCGTGTGTGGCCTCCTGGGCGCCGGGCCGGGGCTCGGGCCGTGGCCCACGTACTGCGGCCTCAAGCGGGGAGAACTCGTCCTCTCGGACAGGCCGTTCCCAGGCGCCTCCGCCAGGCTTCCGCTCCAGGTCCGGAGACGGGGGCGCACGGGGCGGGGGCGGGGGGTGAAGGGCCGAAGGTAGGGACTGGGATCGGGTGGGGGCTGGAGGCGAGAGGCCTGGGGGCCAGTCGCCTGCCGTGGCCTCTTTCCCCATCGGGGTGTCGCCCAGTTTTTGAAAGCCACGCCTCGCTTCTGAGATATTAACCCCAGCGGCTCCCTCCCCCCAGCGACCCCCTTTCTGCCCTTTTTCGGCCCTGGATCAGCAGCCCAGGGCTCCTGGGGCCGAGCTGCCCACGAATCGAGGTGTGGATCTGGCTGTGGCGGTCGTTCTGCAGTCCAGCGATCAGACTGTCTTGCTGACCCGAAGGACACAAACTCTCAACGTTTCCCCCAACCTCTGGGTACCCCCAGGTGAGCGGTCTGAGGGCAAGGCCCTAAGTCCAGGAAAGAAATCTGCCCTTTACCCAACAGTGCTATTCCCAGTCTCAGAATGACAGAGAAGTAGGCCCAGAAATGTGGTATCAACAGGTCCCATAATCACAAGGGGCTACAACTGCATCTGTGCCCACTGGAGGAGGGGGCGGTGTAAACAGTGAGTGAGTGTCCCTGACCAGGAACACCACCATTCACCTGCTGGTCCCACTGTTGTTGCAGGTGGGCACGTGGAGCCTGATGAAGAGGTAGCCAATCCACTGACCCAACCTGCACCCCGCCCTGAAGGAGGGACCACCTTGGGTGTGGGCTGAGGGAAGGGCAAACACAGGACTTGGAGGAGTCAGGCGGTGGCCTCTCTGACCTCTTGCCCCCTCACTCCCAGCTGCTGGACGGAGGACTTCGAGAGCTTTGGGAGGAGAGTGAACTACAGCTGCCCCAGGGCCAGTTCTCTGGGGTCCCTCTGGGGTTATGGGAGGTGAGACAGGGACCTGGGAGCCCTTAACAGCTTCTAACCCACCAAAGCCCAGAGAACAGCCACACTTCCCTTGACCACATGGGACCCGATGGAGTGTGGGTGGTCTGGAGTTCCCAAGCCCACGACCCTTACCCATGTCCCTTCTCCACCACTTCTACTCTCCACTTCCTCAGCTGCATTTACAAAGCCCCAAAAAGGGACAGGAAGTTCTCATTTTTGTTTTCTTCTCTCTTAGTCTGCCTACCCTCCTAGGCTGAGCTGGGGTCTCCCCAAATACCATCACATCATTCTCTATCTACTTGTCATTTCCCAGGAGTCACAGCAGCAGCTACAGGTAGGGCTGGCAGTAGAGGAAGAAAATGCGGCTTAGGACAACCAAACAGACTGGTTCCGACTATGACTAAGGAGGGGGAGAGGGAAGGTCAGAGATAACCAAGAAATCCAGTAGCCTCTCCCCTTGTCCCTGCCCCAAGTCTCTCCACTCCACCTGTGGGTGGGCTGTGATCCAGAACAGGTCTTCTGAGAGAGGCCATGACTAAGGGATCAATATGTCTGGCTCCAGGCCCGGATCCAACCAAACCCAAGAGAGGTGAGCGCCCTTATGTGGCTGGGACCAGATGTAGCAGCTGCGGTGGCTGCCACAGAGGATGGGACAGAGACACCCAGACATCTTCCCCAGGACCTACCGCCTTCTGTCCTGTAAGTAGGAGCTTCTCCCTAACCCTCCAACACACCAACACATACACACTGAGAAGTTCAGAGGAAATTTTGTGCTGTGGGGGAGATTTAGGGAGGGAGTGGGTCAACTGATAATGAAGAGAGCACATGAGATCAAAGATATTGCCCATGATACTCCAAGGGTTCCTGTCCAACTGGTTAGCACTGAAGACCTGGGTTTCAGTCCCACTCTCTCATGGGGGCAAGTCATTTAACTCTTCTTTCTGTAAAATGAGGTTAACACCCACCCACCCCTCTCCTGTGGTGGTTGGGAGGATCAGATGACCTTATGGATACGGAAGTGGGCTAAGCCACAAGGCACAGCCCAGACAGGAGCTGTCGTTCTGCAGTGCGGTGGAACTAGAAGAGAATGGAGGAGCTCGACCTCTGGTCTTGCCCACGTCCACACTGCTGCGGACGACCCCAGCCACGGCAGATAGCAAAGAGAGGGTCAGCACTGGGACCAAGTTTGCCCTCAGGCTCTGGCTACAGCATCTGGGCAGGTAAGGATGAGGAAGGACTTAAGGACTCCACAGTGTTGGGCTGAATGGTCTAGTCTTTTTATGGGTGTGGGGGAAAGAAAGGAAGAAAGAACTGCCCTTGGAAATCCTCAGTGTGACACCCCTACCATGTGGAAGTGGAGCTCACTCGGACCCAGGGCCTGCAAGGGAAGAACAGAACGTGGCCCATCCCACCCCCCACAAACCAGGGATCTGGAAAGCAAAGTGCTTAATCCCCTCCCCAGCCCACCTCCGTGACACTCACAGAACATCCACAACCTTTATTATGGGTAAGAACTTTGCTACAACTGTGGGAATAGAAAGTAAAATTACAACATAGATCCTAGGCCCTAGAGGAGCCTGAAAAGGGAGACTGGAGAGAGCACAAGGGTGCTCCCACCTCCCAGGAAAGGTGCAGAATGAGCCAGACCTAACCACAGGGCCATGGGCCTTTAGAAGCTCAGGCTCCAGGCTGGTCAGCATAAGCATCATTGTGAACTTACTTAAATATATAAATAGAGAGACCCAGGCGATTGGCCAGGCCCTTCTCCCAAACCCCTGGGGATCAGGGCTAAGGCCTTATCTCCTCCTCAGTCACACTGGGAAGCAGGAGGCAGGGAAAGTCATCTTTGGAGTATTTTGGTTTTTCTTGTTTACACACAAAAAATATGCAACCCAAAATAGAGTTCTCTGTCCATGTGTCTGCCTATCTCAGTTACTCCAGCTGTCTGTTTGGCCAAAGAGAACGGAATGGACGTGAAGAGACAATGGATATGGGGAAGGAACACAGCCGGCTTTGGGGAATGGGAAGAGAGGGCATCTGAGGGACACGAGAAGGGCCCCTTCCCCACGAGGCTTTAGACAGTCAAGGCTGAGGATTCAGCCCTTTCCCCAACTCACATCCCATCCCATTTGCCTCCCACTGCCTAGGTTAACAGACCCAAAGGAATGGGCTGGACATCAAAGAACATTTCCAAAAACAGACCCCAAATGTCCTTTAAAAGAGGTTAAATATTAACCCTTTGGGTGCTAGCCTTGTCAGGCAGAGATAAGGCCAAAAACAGGTGTCCATGAAGATCTTTCTGGCCTTGACCAAAGCCCTTCTGATGGGTCAGAGGGGCCAGGGTTCCAGACTCCACAGCATACTTGCTCAGTGTTGCGAGGCGGTGAAGGCTCCATGATCCAGGGGACTCAGTCCAGGGAAATGATGTCTGACCGACAGCCAGTCAAAGAGGGACCTGAGGGCAGGGGTCCTCCATGCCCCTCCCTTAAGTTTCCCCCAGGGGCCACAATGCTACTGACACGGCCAGGAGGGGGTGCCGGAGTGGTGCTGCGGTGAGAGCTCCCCAACGTGGGGCCTAGCGGGCCCAGGAAGTGGGAAGGGGTTCCTCGGTACTGGAAGAAGTGGCCCAGGGCATCCTGTTCGTCTAGCGAGGTGATGACGGACGGACCATAGTGCTGGGAGGAGTCGAGAACGTGGTTTAAGATTTTATCCTGACTTCACAAACCGCCTCCCAGTCACTCATCTCAGAAATATCTTATGGGATAAGTAAACCCCTCAGGACCCCAAAGTATTCTCTGAGAAGCAGGAGAGCCTCCCTCTGACTCCTTCCCCTACTTCCCCACACCCCACCCCTCTTCCCTGCCTGGAGACAGCCCCACCAGCTTGCTAGATTCTCGGCCCTGTGGGCGTCTGAAATGTGTGGAATGTCCGGCTGGGGCAGTCATGGTGCTCAAGTGCACATGGGTTTGGGGGGGGTGGGGAGGGGTGAGCAGACAGGCACAGAACTACACTAAAAACTCTGGAGACAGAACAGTAAGTAACAGAGGACAGAGGAAGACATGGGTGAGAATCCGAAGAAATCCCAGTGGGGCCTAGGAGGGAAATAAACTGCCTGTACCGCAGTTTCCTTCCTTCATGGAGAAGCACATTAAGGTCCCCGGGGAAAATGAGAGAGTAAGGGGGCCCATCAGTGCCTAGAAAGGAGGCTTCAGCAATCTGAGATGGAGAAGGGACCACTTACCTGACTCTCAGTCTGAAGGAAAGAAAATAAATCTAAACCTGGTAGGAGAAGAAAAATTAAAATCAACCTCCTATCTGACCCCTTCACCACACACACACACCCACACGCACGCGCGCGCGCACACACACACACACACACACACACACACAATATCAAAGAAGTTCCTTGGATTGTGGCCCTTTGCAAAACAGCCAAAAAGCGCTGAAAAGGAGCAAGGGTTGTGAGCTGGTTTGGGGGAGGATATGGCAGTGCACGGCCCCACCTTGTGATCAGTGTCATACCTTGTATATCAGCCCCCAGTGGGAAGGCAGGTGGGTACTCATGTAGTGGGAGACTGGACAGGAAATCCCCGCCCAGCGTGCCCATAGCAGGGCTCCGTAGCACCGAAGATGGCTGGTGACCAGATGTCAGGACTCTGTGAGGAGACAGAAGGAATCACAGGTGTCCTCACCCAGCTCAGCCTCTCAAGTCCCCTCTCTGCCCCCGAGTTTGCCCAGTGATCAGAAAGCGTTCCTGACTTCTTCCTCTCCCTTCTGCTATAGATTCAGCCTATTTCTTCATACCCTTTGCTTCCAGGTAGAGCTGGGATAGCAGCTGAAGTGACAGGACAGTGCTTCTTCGTCGGGGGCAGGTCCTCCTCGTCTGATGAGCTTTCTATTGTCAAGTCAATAACTTCAACCTTCTTCTTATTCTCTGATGGATTGCCCTCTTGGACTGGGCTATACTGGAGGCCTGTGGTTGGTAAGAAGACTGTGTCTCAGAGAAGAGGCCATACAAGACTTAGCTCAACTGGGGGACAGGGGGTCACTCACCATCCAGCCCATACCCTGGCGGGGGGCAAACCTCAGATGCCTCCTTCTTGGGTTTCATTGGGCACCAGGATCCATCTTCCATGAACTGGATCTCATCACAATCCGAGCAGGAATTAAGAATCTCCATGAATAAACTAGGGGAGGGGAGAGATAGGAATTCATGTGGCTGGGAGATGGCTGCAACAGTAGCCAGGGAGTTCTGGGACTCACCTTCCTGAACCTCAGTTTCCTCACCTGTAAATTAGGGATGTTATCCACCCTCCTGACCTCTCTGAGTTGTTGGAATCAAATAAAGTAAGGTGCATAAAAGAGCTTTGAAAATTTTAAATGCTGAGTTTTAAAATAAATACATTCTAAGCACGTGTTCCATGTAGTACTAGGAACAAAACAGAAGGAGCAGAAATAACAGAACTCTATAAGCTACCTCAAAAAGAGGCACTGGGGGCTTCCCTGGTGGCGCAGTGGTTGAGAGTCCGCCTGCCGATGCAGGGGACACGGGTGGGTTCGTGCCCCGGTCTGGGAAGATCCCACATGCCGCGGAGTGGCTGGGCCCGTGAGCCGTGGCCGCTGAGCCTGCGTTTCCAGAGCCTGTGCTCCGCAACAGGAGAGGCCACAGCAGTGAGAGGCCCGCGTACCGCAAAAAAAAAAAAAAAAAAAAAAAAAAGAGGCACTGGGAACAAGAACCATAATGTAGGCTCTGGAAGCAGGTTAGGAGTCGCTAGATCAAAAGAACTTTATTGCTATGTTCAGTAAGAGGTCAGGTAATTGTTTGATGTAACAGTTTGATACACTGGCTCTGCCACTTACTAACACTGTAACTTTGAGCAAGATACTAGGTCTCAGCTTCCTCACCTGTAATGACCGTACCTATCTCACAGGGTTACTGGCATCTCATAGGACTCAATGAGATAAGGCATGCAAATTACTTAGTACGGTGTGTAGTGAAGTCCTCAATGTTGGAGGGAGAGATAGATAAATAGATAGGTAATATTTATATAAAAGAGACAGGTATGTTAAAAGTTGGGAGGGGAAGTAAGTTACAGATATATATTTATATATGGGGGCAGGGGCCAGTCCTAGTGGATGTCCTAGGTAAAAGGAAGCTGAATGCAGAACAGCCCTACCCATCAATGATAAGAGATTCATAGGGAGCCTTCTTATCACACACAGGACATGTCCACGTTGGCTTCTTCTCATTCATCTGTAGATAAAGGGCAGCATCGAAGCTCTGCAGGTGGGCGCAGGTGAGGGCCCGACAAGGGACAGTCAAGCGCATCTTCCCTAGCTGAGGAGAGACGAGTTCTCTGGTCAGAGTCCCCATGTCCCAGAGAGCCTCACTCTAATAGCCCTAGGAACCCTCATCTGAGTCTAGAGGTTTAACCCACCACTCCTCCCCCTTCTCTTCTCCCTTGTACCCACCGGGCACATGAGTGACACCCGGAGACTTGTAGTGGCCACCTCACTGTCCGGGTCAGCGGTCAGCTTCTCCTTGACTGAAACAAGAGTGGGGCCAGAGCCATGGGGTCAGCAAGGCTGGAGAGAAGCCCGGGAGGTGGTGAGGCCAGAAGCAGATGGCTCTGGCTGAGAGGCGGCTGGGTAGAGCGCCTTTGGGGGCCAATGGGATGTCACATGGGGGTGGTCTGGGATCTGCATTACGAAGGCTAGGTGGCGGGGAGAGATTTCCCCATCCCTGAAGATGCTTAAATACAGCTGGGTGACACTGTGGCAGAGATGACCTAGAGGGAATTGAAGCAGCACAAGAGGGTTAGTGTTGATGATACTTAAAGACACTCTCTAGTCTGGAGAACCCAAATTCCAACAGGGCTGGAGTTAAGGTCTGCGAGGTGCAAAGCAGATGTATAATTGGGAATGCAAGGGTGTCAATGCCTGAAGTGGCCCCACTTTTCAACCACAAAGATTGGTAACAGGGGTACGGCACGGGTTGGGGTTCATGTGAGAGGTGAAGTAAGTTGTCCTAAGAGGGGTATGAGTTTTAACTGTAAAGGCTCGAGGGCCAGGAAGAATTGGATACTGGTCAGAGAGAAGAGGGACGGGATGTTACTCACTCAGTGCCCGGGAATGGTCTGGGTTCCGGATGCCCTTTGCTCTGAGTTTTTGTAGAAGGGTTCCTGCAGTCAGCTGCCTCACCAGGTACACAGACAAGGAGTAATTCTACTTGGAGGTGCGGGGGGAGACAATCAGCCTCTGCTTCGTACACCACTACCACCACCACCACCAGCAGCCCCCCACCTTGTCACATGAGGGCCAGAGACAGCAAGTTAATGCAGAGAGACCCACGAAGAGAAAGATGTTTCCCCAGCCCAATGCACTGGATGATTCCCTCTCACTCCCTGCAGGCTTCTCCAGGCCCCCAGCCTCAGCCACGCTCACCCGTCCAAACTCAGACGACCAGTTGACCACGATGGTGTTGGGAACAGTGGCCGAGAGTCGAGCCAGGGGTGTGATGTTGATGGGGCGGCTGGGCCTCTTGGGCTCAGCCCCATTCTTGGTAGGGGGAAGGTAACCCTGGGGGAGGGAGGGAGGGAGGGCCTGGTTAAGACACCTTGTCTTAGGTCACTCACTGAGATGAGTGAGACGGGGGCCCATTCAGTGACAAAAAACTGGGGCACTCTCTAGGGTTGGCAGCAGGGTTCATTCCTGGGGAAAAAGGAGAACTTACTCACTGACCAGATAAATAGAAACCTGCTCACTGAGTTCTTGAAGAGGAAGAGTAGGGATACCCCACTTCTTCCAACCCTCAGCTCTAGGGTCATCACTTCTGAGAATCTTTCCTGAACCTTTGAGTTGAACTAATATCCCCCCTCTGGGTTCTGAGAGAACCCTTGTTCAGCCCTATCTTGGTACTCTCTAGATTATATTGATTCAGTCAGTAAAGTGAGCACCTACTATGTCAGGCATGTCTCTTTCATAAAAGATGTAACATTTAGGAACTAAAACAGGGAAGGGGTTACTGCCAGAAGAAGGGAAGAGCATTTACCGGCAGGGGGCACAGTTTCCCATTGACCTTGACAAAGAGGTTGGGGGGGAAGTAATCCTCTTGGGGGCAGCTGGTCTCACAGAGACAGAACCTGGTAAGAGATGAGAGAAGATGAAAGGGTGGGAGGCAGTTCCTGCAGAGAGAGGCAGGCAACCTCAGAAAATCAGTCATGGATATCTGTAGCCTTCAGCTTCCAAACAAGAATCCTAGGGCTGGGGTGGACATGGCAGAGCATGTCCTAATAGTAACCTCCTAATAGTAACCGTCATACCCTTACTTCATTCCCATCCTCAGTGGGAGCCCTGAGGGGAGGGAGAATCAACTCACCTTAGCTGCACCTGTATGGTATAATCACATTTCGCTCCTGGCAGAACCTCTCTGGAAGAGGGAGGGAGGAGAGATGTCAGTATGTGGCCCCTGAAGGGCAGGGGTGAAAAGAGACACAGAAAGTTAGATGTCCAGAGAATAGAGAAGGGAAATACAAGAGAATGAGGGACAAAGCAGGTGCAGGAGGATGGAGAGGAAGGAGGGCAGGGCAGAAGAGAAGAAAGTCAGAGAGCAGAGTCTAAGGGTAACCACCCAAGGATGAGGCAGGACGACTGAAAGAGATGTACCTGGATGTGAGAATCTGCTGCACTTGCTGGGGAGTGAGGGCAAAGGTGAAGTGCGCTTCCTCAAACCGCTGGCTAGAAGTGGATGCTGAGGACACAAAGGGGCAGTTATTCCCAAGCCCATGCACAGGCAGCCACAGAAGTTGCCCCTATTCCAGGGTGCTGATCCCACAGGACTAAAGCCTAAGAAAGGCTTGGGAAAGAGGCATGGAGTCCAGGAAGACCCAGGGATCACAAAGAGCCATACCAAGGGTGGTGGGCCGGATGAGCTCCCCGTAGATTTCATAGAAGGGCAATGGTTTCATGGTGACATCAGGGTGCACAGGCTGGGGCAGAGGGGGGTGCATGTCCACTTCACGCTTGGGACCCAGCAGGGTGCCAGGGGCCAAGAGGGCTGGGGGGATGGGAGCTAGAGGACCAGGAGAGCCCACAGGAGGGGTGCCAGGGGGCAGAGAGAGCAGAGAAAGATCGGAGGGCCCCAGGGTCTTCCGGGGAAAGCGTCGGCGGTAAAGCTCTTTGATCTTCATCTGGACGCTGGGGGCACAGCTGGACTTGAGGAGGTGCAGAGCCTTGGCCAGGAGCTCGTGCTTCCGTCCACTCTTGTTCCGGCCAGCGAAGCCGAGGAGCACCTGGAGCTCAGACACCCGGAAACTCATCACCATGTGCTGTGGAGACCAGAGAAGCGTGAGAATCCTACCTTGCACAGGGCTGTCCTGCCAAAGACACTGGGGCTGAGCTAGTAGGTGGGCAATGCACTTTCCCTCCAGCGCTAATCAGAAAGGTGCTTTGCAGCCAGTGGATTACTGCCAGACAGCGAAGCTGGCCAAACGGACATCTAGGTCGCATTTTAGCAACCCTCAGATCACCTCACCACTGCCCCCCAGGCTTGAGCAGCCCTATCTCCCTGTGCCTGGCAGTTTAACAGGTGAGGGCAGGGTGCAGACAGCATGCCACCCCAAAGCACACCTCTCAGTCCACTACAGCCTTTTCCCTCCATCCCTGCGGTGAGCCTGGACCCTCCTGTAAGCTGCTTATCTCCTCTCCTGCTCTTTCTCAGACACTCAGATCCATCCCAGCTCCTGGGAAGAGGATAGGAGACAGGGAGAAGGAGGGGGGAGAAGAGGATTCAGGCCAGACAGCCCCATAGAGAAGAAAGGGGCCAGGTGGCTGGAGGATTGTGCCCCACGGCCCACCCCTCCCAACACTTCGATCTACCTCAGCTATTTTCCCCAAGCCTCTGAAGCTTTTGTGGCGAGGGTTTTCAGGTCAGGGTTCAATGCTCATAACTCCCCCAAATCCTTTCTCAGTGTCATTTACATAACCACCTCCCCTCAGTCCTATTTCTGTGGGAGAGAAACAGGACCAAAACTTGGGGTGAGAGGTTAACAGCGAATTGTGAAATCCAGGTATCCTTCCTGTTTACCCATTTACTCCATCTGCCAGGAACTAATATCCTGCTTCTCTCCTACCCAGAGAAAATAAGTGATCCTCCCCCTCCTCCACAGGGGTGGAAGAGGGAAGAGGGAAGCTCTAAACAGAGGCCCTGGGAGGGTGAGGAGAAGGTGAGCAGCCCCTGAGCCAGGGTGCAGAATTGCATGCTCTCCTAGGCAGCTAGACCCAGTAACTAGACCTCAGGCCCTCCCAAGAAAATGGCTCCATTTCAAAAGGCAGAATAAAGCCAGGAGACAGGGGGATGAACCCCATGGTTTTTAAAGGTTCTGTGAGATGTCCTCGGATATGGTTATCCTCAAGTCTCTGGTAGTGGTAAGCTCTCTCTTTAAAGGACTCACTTCTATGAATCTCTAGGAGACCCTGCCACGGGCAGGCCTTCCTAGCCCTTCACAATTCTTCCCCTCACAGGAGACATTATGGCTTTGGGCCCCTTTTGAGGAATATGATTAAAAACTTGCTCCTCTACCTTTCTCCCCATCCTAATTTCCTCCGTCCTGCCTTTATTTCTCCACTAGCTTTGTCAAGAACTTCTCCCTTTCTATCCCATAGTTTCACTCCTCTGCCCAAAGATACCGACTCACTAAGGCAGGACCTTCTTCTCAGCCTCCAGGATGCTTCTGCCCCACCCCTCGATCTAGCCCCGCACAGCCCCGCCCCCTAGATCTCAGCCGCCTACTGGTACTTCCCAAGGCTCAGATCCCAATAGCAGCCCCAAAGCCTCTATCCTCTCAGCGCCTTTCCCCCGAGGAGCCTACCCGTAATCTGCCCCCCAGTCACATCCAACATCTGCCCCCTACTGTCGCATCTCTGGCCCTTGATCGACTCGCCCCCTTTGCCTCTACAGCAGCTTTTCCTCCTGGCCCAACTCCTACATCTGCCCCTACTACCAAATCCGACTTCTACCCCGCGTCCCCGCCCCCTGCGCCTCGGCCCCCAACTGCGGCAATTCCCCTCGGCCCCACCCCTATATCTGCCCCGCGGCCCCGCCCCCGGAGCCCCGCCGCAGCCCCTTCGTCGCCCACAGGCACTTCTCACCATCCCCGGCAGCCAGTCCCCGCCACGTCTCCGGCCCCCACCCGAGCCCTCAGCACCCAGTCTCGGTCGCTTCCCGGACTCGGCGTACAGCCGGGCTCAGTCCCGATGGGGATGGGGGAGGGGGCCGGTACCTTTAATTCGCCCAGCTCCGCCATCTTGAGACATCGCAGGCGCCCGAGCCCGAGCCCGAGCTCAGGCCCAGGGACCGGCGCACAACTCTCCACCCCGGCGCCGGCCGCAAATGCCGCCTGCTCCGCCCAGTCCGGCCCCCTACACCTCCCCTTCCCGGCCCCGCCCGCCGGGTTTTGGACCCAGCCTCAGCCCCTCCCTCCACAGCCGAACCCAGCCCCTGCACGTCTTTGGCCGGTGTGCCAGACCGGTAGACCCGGAGGGAGTGTACCGCCCGAAGGATCGCGGGGTCCCAGGGGGCATGGGAAAGGAGGTGGACCCGAAGCACCTGGGGGAGGGGGCTTTGCCACGCCGGGGTTGAGAAGGGATGAGCTTTTAGGGAGCCAAAGATACTTGGAATATGGAGAGAAAGTATCGGGAAGGGCTAAATCTCAGAGAAATGGGGGAGGGGGTAGCGAAGTTGGAGGAAATACCCTCAGCTCCTTATCTACAAGTTTAACCATCTAAATTCAAGAGTTCTACTAATTCGGGAAATGGGGGAGATCTGATCCATTTTAGAGAGGCTATGGTGTCGTGAAGAGTTCATTCTATTCTCAATTCACCCCCTCCCCCCCAATTACATTGTATCTCGTGGTCCGGCGGTAGGACTCAAACTCGGCAGCAAAAAAGTTTGGTGCGGAGAGTGGGACTTACCAGCACAGTTGCAGGGAGCGGGGAGGGGGCTCGGGAGGCTCAGAGGGTGGGCTGGAGACGCGGGGGGAGGGGGCCCGGCGCCGCTCCCGCAGTCTGCCCGGCTGGAGGTCGGTCCGGCAGCTGGACGCTGCAGCCGCAGCTCCGCCTGGGCGGGAGCTCCGCCCGGCCCAGCGCTGGGGCTGGGGCCGCCCCCCTCCTGGGTAAGCCCGCCAGGACCGCGGGAGAAGTGGGGAGGGGGCGGAGCCTGAGACGGGAGGGGCAGGGACTCAGAGCCTGGCCAGGAGGGATTAACTCCTCTAGTGAGTGGATCAGGAGAGAAGTTCTTTTATCTCCCATTCTCACTACCGCTGTGACCCTTGCAAAGTCGCGTATGCGCTTGAGGTGGAAGAATGGTGCAAATAAGATGGTGTGGAACTGGAATCTGATCGCATAAAGAGGTTCCTACTTAGAGTCTCTCTCCCTAAGGGTAAGAAAACATGGGCTGCTAAAATCCAAAGTGTACCTAAACCCTAACTTTGCCTGTGGTCCCCTACCCCCTACCTCAAATACACTGTCACCAGAGACCCCACAGCTTTGAAGTAGCTGAAAGTGAACAGAGGGGAGGTTTTCTCACCCCAAAAGGGCACCCTTCTGCCACTCTGAACTGCCTGCTCTCCTTCCTCCAAAGCTGTAGACCTTCCAGAGGCCCCATTCTCAACTAAGCTAATCACTCGCAGGCAGGTCCCTTGAAAGTACCAACGTGAGAGCAGTTTACCCAAACTAGGTACTGGGAAAATTCATAGCATTTTATACTTAGTCGGCTGGGACCTAAGTGATAATGTCATTTGTTCAATAAATATTTGAATGCTGTTCAAAGATTGTTAGGTGGTGAGGACATAAAATCCTTGCAGGAGTTCTCAGTCTAGCAGCAGCAAGATGGTTAAACCAATAATTGGCATACAAAAAGAGTGCTTTAATAAATTATATGAGTAATCCTCTCATTTAGCTTAAACCTTCAGTATAATCCTTCCCATGAGACCCCACAGCTGTAAGACTGAAGGTGCCAGCATACCAACATCCCCAGGTACCTGTTGAACTGGACCATACCCAACTACTTTGTGGATTTTGTCCCTAGGGAGGATGTCTGCCCTCTCCTGACACTCAGGTTCTTTCCTTGCTGCTCTGCTGCCAGCAATGGTGGAACCTCAAGCTCCGGTATTTGGTTCTAAATCCCAACTGCTCCCTCCAACACTTGAATCTTCATCAGGCCCTGAGCTCTTTTTTTTTTTTTTTTTTGCGGTACGCGGGCCTCTCACTGTTGTGGCCTCTCCCGTTGAAGAGCACAGGCTCCGGACGCGCAGCGCGCAGGCTCAGCGGCCATGGCTCACGGACCCAGCCGCTCCACGGCAGGTGGGATCTTCCCGGACCAGGGCATGAACCCGCGTCCCCTGCATCGGGAGGCGGACTCTCAACCACTGTGCCACCAGGGAAGCCCCCTGAGCTCATTTTTTGTTCTGTTAAGTCCTCTATATCAAAAGTTACTATGGACTAGTTTGTATCTTCTAGAATTTTCAGGGGAAGGAGAAGAGGGAAGATTAAAAAAAAAGAGAGAGATGGGGGAACTCTGTGGGAGTGATGGATATGTTCCTCATCTTGATGGTGTGATGGTTTTATGGGTGTATACATATGTCAAAATTTATCAAACTGTACCCTTTACATGCAGCTTATTGTATGTCAGTTATACCCAAATAAAGCTGTAAAAATGTAAAGAAAAAAAAATCAACCTCACCTTGATTCCTAGTGACTTCATAAAGGAGGGATCTCCTTTAATAGTTAATTTGAGTCCCCAAGAAAAAGAGGAAATTCTCTTCCAAGGAGGAGCCGCTCAGCAGTGGACCTAAAGAGGCTGCTGATAGCAAGAGCAGAAGCTCCAAGAAAAAGTTCCAAAAGCTATTCCAGGGAGATTAGAATGGACATTTCTCTGATGGGGCATAACCCATGGAGATATTTCGCAACCCATCCCCTATATCCCAATAAAAACAAATTCACAAGGAAAAAAAAAAGAGTTAATTGCAGTTATAAGTGCTAGCATCCCTACAGGATAACATAAAACTAGCAACCAGGGCACCTGAGTCTGATCCTGCCTGCAAGCTCTCTCTATCCCCAGTGCCTGGCACTTAGTAGGCCCTTTAAATATCAGTTTAATAAAGTAATGTTACCAGACAAAGGAGGGAACCTGCAAATCAGAACCAAGTTTCAGATCGAGGGCATTCAAAAACATGGTCTGAACTGCATCATGGCTCACCGAGCTTCACCTACTCTCACGCATGCACTCACATCTGAAGCCTGGAGCACGAAGGGGAAGTGAAGCAGGAGTAGTAAGTCCCTACTGAAGTCCGACTTGAAGAGACAGCCCAGGAGGAAAGAGGGGAACATTAAGACTAGAGTTACTTTGAGAAAGAAAGATTTATTTATGAAATCAAGGAAAATTTCAGGGCTTGGGGGTGTTGGGGTAACAGTTTATGGGGTTGTATAGAGGGAGATTGTTTAGGAAGACCAGGGGCTGGAGAAGGTTCCACTTCTGTGTTATCATTAACATCACTGACCATTCCCACAGCTCAGCCATCCTGGGATCAGCTTCCAGGAGCTCCAGAGGAAGCCAAGGGCCTGGCTTCCATTACCAGAGCTGTTTCCTGACTCATACTTGAACTTAGCAAAATGATCTCCCCCTCTCTGGACCCTTCTCTCAGCAGTTTCTTCATTCTTCCCACCCCACACTGCATATATAATAAGGAATGTAACAGTCCTTTTCTATTCTTTGGTAACTCTAAGGGTAGAAAGGAAAAGAGAGGTTCTGTTCCCCTTAATAGAAATGACTTGGACATTTTGATGCTCTTCTGGCAGCTGCACCCTTCTTTTTCCCCATCAATTCCTCCTCTCTTCATTCTCCCAACCTTAAAGCAGTCTTGTGCCCATCCACATAAACCCCGAAGCTGACCCTCACCTTCTTTAGGACCTAATCTACATAGCTGCTCTTTTCCTGGCCAGACCCTGGAGCGAGGCTCTGCAGCCCTCCAGTGGCCCCCTGTCTTCCACGACGGCCCCTCCCCACTATTCTCTCAGCCCAGTCAGTCTCCACTGCCAAACCGCTGCTGCCTGACCCAGCATAACCCAGCGGGGGGGTGGGGGGCTGCGAGAAGGAACTGGGAGGGATCAGTGCGGCGGCCACCAAACAGCAATTCCAGATTTTGGAAGAACTCAGTTGCCTCACTCTCACCTAGCAATCTGGCTGGTGAAGAGGCAGGAAGGGGAGGAGACCCAGGGGAAGTGGACCAGAGAGATACACTTTTTCAGTCTGAGAACAGAACTGGGGGCAAGAAGCCAAAGCTGAGTATCCTTTCTTCCCTCTTCCAGGAATCAGACTTTTCATCCCTCTTTGCACCTGGGGCAAAGAACACTGACTACATAAGACCATGCACCTCAAATCTAGACACATGGTTTAACACGATAGAATTTTTTTTTTTTTTTTTTTGCGGTACGCGGGCCTCTCACTGTTGCGGCCTCTCCCGTTGCGGAGCACAGGCTCCAGACGCGCAGGCTCAGCGGCCATGGCTCAAGGGGCCCAGCCGCTCCGTGGCATGTGGGATCTTCCCGGACCGGAGCACGAATCCACGTCCCCTGCATCGGCAGGCAGACTCTCAACCACTACGCCACCAGGGAAGCCCGATAGAATATTTTAGATCGTACATCTTGAAGAAAATCTAGGTCTCTCCATCTATCCTTCTTAAAAAAGATAGTGGACTGAGGAGTCCCAAGGTAGAGAAAAAAGATTAGAGGTGTGTCAGTCAGTAAGAAGCAGATTTGAGAAAGAGAAAGGAAGAATGTCAATCTCCATTTTTACAGAGGGCTGTTTTTCAAACTGTGAGAATGCTGTTTTTCAAACTGGGTCTTGACCCATTAGTGGATGTGTTGTAACCAATATTTTTTGATGGAATATAGAACAGAATAGAAATAGTAAGGGTAAATATTATTTCAGGTATGTACACACAGGATATAAAATGTATTTACTATGGATCATAATCAAAGTTTGAAAGCAGCTAACTTATGGGGCCATTTGTGATCAAAAAGGAATGAAAAAGATTCCTTCCCCCATGCCCCTTTAGGCAGAAAAAACGACACCCAACATCACCCTGCCTCCTGCTTTATTCTCCACAGAGCTGGCTTCCATCCACACCACCTCTGATCTCATCCACGCTGAGTCCAGGGTTCAGGTTCTCAGGTCTGGGGTCCATAACGTCAGGTGAAGCCCCACCCACACACCCGTAGTGGCCAACCCACCACACACCACAGCCTGTTGGAGGCTCTGGCAACCAGGGATGCTCTATTCCCTGAAAGAAGAAATTCAAGGATGAAATGCACACACTTCTATACCCTCAGTCTCCTCCCACCCATGCCAAGATGCTAAAGATGATCCTCATCTATCTGGACTGGAGAAGATGGCTGCCTGCAGAGGGGCAGGGAGAAGGATGGAGGATGACTACACTTTGAATGAATGGTGTGGGAGTGAAGGAGAGATTCTGGAATCTGTAGAGTCCCACACTAGGAAACAACTGTGCACCACTATCCCACCATCACTCATCTTTCACTGGCATCTCTCTACCCCAGACCTTAGGAGAGTCATTCAACTCCTCTTTTCTGTCTCCATCTCATAAGTCAGACCCCTTCAGTCTACCTGCTCACTGATTCCTGACTCCACCCAGTGATTCCCCATATCATGTCTTCTCAATTGACCTCACCTCAAACGCTCTATGCCCCACAGGACTCCCTAGTGTCAGCTACCACATGGGGCAAAAGGAGACTCCAATTTCTATCCTTAAGCTTCCTTTCATCCCAAGTTCCTTCCCTCATCACCCTCAGACCACAACTCACAACAGAGAGATCCCATATTCTTCAGGGCACAGGATGCCTCACTCCTCCTGGATGCTGAGGATTCGCAGTAGGATACTGTACACATCCTGTTCCATGTAGCCCTGTAGGCAGCATGAAAGAAACAAAAGGAGATGAAGAAAAGGAAATGAGAGAGACAGGAAAGGGAGAGTTTCTATGGTAGAGTAGGATGCTACTTACTAACTACGTGCCCTCACTTATACTACTAACTCCTCAATAGCTGTTTCCTAATCTTCACAAGGAAGATAATCTTTTTAGAACTGCTGTGAAGGTTACAACTGTGACTATGGAGCAGAGCACCGGGTACACAATAAGTGTTCGATTCTTTGTAGTTATTATTATTCCTAATAAAGGAACGAGCCACCCACCTCTTCTTCCTTGGCGAGGGGTAAGCTGGCTCAGGAGGACGCTGAGAAGTGGCGCAGGGGACAGGAAAAAGCCTTACAGTCAATCAGGGAATCGAAAAGGAGGGGCAAACACCTCTCCCCCTCACATTCATGCATAACTTCTCTCAATCTGCCTAATGATATCCAGAAACCTGGTACTGGGACATCTAAAGTCCAGCTTCCTGAGAGACGAGTCTGTGCAGGTAAGAGAAGGGATGCCAAATGCAATGCCCCCTGGCCAGCTCTCTGCCTCTACCTGCCCCCAGGCTCACCTGAGCGGCATTCAGCAGATGATTTCTATAGGTGGAGATGATCTCTTCATGGTTCTTCTGGGAATCCTGGGAGTGAGCATCAATGGGAGGTCATGTGCCCAGCCTCTCACACTCACCCTCATTCCCCAAGCATGAGGAACAATGAAGTGAAGTGCTCAGCTGTGCCAGGTAGGCTCCCTTGGCCCATCACTGGCTCAGCCTAGACCACTGCCTAGCCAGGCCTCTGGAATCCCCAGAATCTCTCCCACAGGTACATCACTTCCACTGTGCACCCTCTTCTCTAGCAGTGTCCATTCCTCCGAGAGCCAGACATACCTGCAGCTGTCGGGCAAGGTGAGCATTTTCTCCCCGAACTACTAGAATCTCCTCTGAAAGCTGCTCCAGCTTCTTCAACAATTCCTTGATCTGAGGTCAAAGGAAAGAAAAGGAACCAATGAGGCCCTGGTCATTTCCCACCCCAACACCACCCAAAGTCAAGGTGAGTTTCCTTTTATTGGGTAGTTAATATCTGCCAGATGCTTTTACACACATTGTCCCACTTAATACTCAAAACAGCTCTTCTTCTGTTCTGAGAAGAACAATCCTTCTCTGAGGGAAGTATTATTATTCACATTTTGTAGATAAGGTGCCTGAGTTAAGTAATTTGTCAAAGTCATACAGCTAATAAGTGATGAAATCATAATTTGA